CGTCCGCACGGCGGAGCGCAACGTCGCTGTGGCGGACCACAACGCCCGAGAGCTAGAGGGCATGGGGCGCGACCTCTCGCGCGAGGCCGAGGAGGCGGCGCAGCGCCGCGACCAGAACGAGAAGGCTGTGGAGGACGCCAGGAATCGCCTACATGCGAAGGAGCGGTACTTGGATGACGCCAAGCAGCAGGTCGATGAGCGCGAGAACGCAGCGAGGCAGAAGGAGGCTGACCTGGCAGAGCAGAGGAAACAACGTGAGCTCGTTTCACAGCACGAGCGTGTTTTGATTGAGCAGGAACTGCGGTTGAGGGAGCAGAGAGATAGCCTGGAGGAGCGCGAGACGAAACTCATGTCGGAGGCGAGCAGTTTCTTGGGGAACCTTCGAACACAGCTGCAGGGCGGGCATTCTTTTTCGCGTGATTGATGTCTGACCAAATGAGTCAGTCTGTATCCTTTTTCTCGGATTTTACTCTGTGTGCATCCAGGAGTCTTTGGAAGGTGTGGTGCAATTCACAAGGCACTTCCTCCTATCGGGGCGGTGAATGCCCTCGGCGTTCGGTTTTATTTCGGTTGACATGCCGCAACGCGCAAGCTAGTAGAGAAGAAACATTGAGGCCGTCAGAGCAAGCGGCTTCACCCGCTCAGCGGGCCATTTTTTTGTTTTTGTACGTCCCTTCCTCTTTAGCCTCGGCGAGGGCACCCTCGCCGACGGAAGGGGTATTAGAGTGAGAGCCCCCGTCTTCTTTGTCTGTCTCCGATATTTTCGCTACTTACTGTGTGTTCTTCTGTCTGTGACTCTTCTTCGTTTGCTTGTCCGTCTGTCGCGGTTTGATCTTTCTTTTTCTTTTTTTTTTCGCGATCTATATTCTTTTATCCTGTCATTCCTCCCTTCCTGTTGGCTTCCCTACCGCCTTGTTTCAGCTTGAATCACAGAGACAATCTTCTTCTAATCCCGTCGGGGGCAGATGCTGCGGCTTGCACATGTCGGCGTCGTGGCCGCTGCCGCTGCCTCTGTTTCCGCTGGTACTACTGCCACCGCTCTTGTCGCCGGAAGCCAGCACCGCTGCTTGAAGAGCGGAGAGGCGCCGAATGTTCTCCCGCCTCAGTCAAAGCAGGCCCTCCATAGTCTTTATCGTCGTCTCCGCAAAGAGGGAGAGGAGCGGGGAATGATGGAACGGGCTCTCTCCGTGCACCCGCTGGAGACGAACATCAAGATGGGCCTGCGTCTTTTGCGTTACCGGACAATGTTGGTGAACATTGACAGAGAGGCTTCTGAGGTGGCGTTCTGGCGTTTAGTGCGCCGTATGCGCCTGGGAGCAGCCCGGCGCTACTTTGCGTGGCGTATTTTTTTAATCCGTCTTCGGTTGCGGAGCTCCGCTGCTATCAGTGACGCGTTGGTGTATGCCCTCTTCCTAGTGGTGTGCTTCATGTTGTACCAGATCTACAGAGTGTGCCGCATTGGCGTGACACGCGCGGAGGATCGCTACCGGACGTTAGCCGTTCCTATCGTGCAGACCTTTGACGCTATTGAGCAGGCGCAGCAGCGTCAGAAGCTTCGACAGGAGATGGAAAACGATATGATACGGCAGCGATAGTTGTGCCAAGAAGAAGAAATCAAAAAAGACGGATGCACACTCGCTCCGCCACTCTCTTATTATTATCATTGGACTCTAGTTTTCATTGGGTCACCGATGGATTCTGTCCGTCTCAAATGCACTGTTCGCCGCAGCAACACCAGCGCATCCACCGCGCAGAACTATACAACGTTCCTACTTCTCTCTTTCTCGCTAAATATATATATATATATACCTCTGTAACTCCTTCTCGGTCTTCTGTGTGTGTGTGTGTGTGTGGAGGAAGTGACTTATGGATGAATATGACGCTGTAGACGCCGACGAGTTAGTGGCCAGGGCGATCGGCTCCGCGGCGTCCCGACAGCAACACGAGAGAAGAAGGGGGCCCCAGTGGGATGCGCTGCTTGCGGGCGGCGACGATGATTCATGTATCCACCCCCCGAGTATATCGGTGAAACAGTTGCTCCAGCAGGAGGAGGCACCACAGGGTGGTGATATCGCCAGACCAATAGCAAAGAAACTCGACCTGGATGCGGACGCTGAGGAGTTGACAGCGATTCAGAGTCTAATCGATACGCAGTACGCCTCGTGCACCAGTAGTGGCAACGTTGCCGATGGCAATGATGCCTGGCGTGCCCCGCTACCTCCACGGCCGGTGCCTCACTCTGTGCCAGCCAGTTTCAGAGAAACATCGCAGCAGCTATCTGACATAGCACTTTATGGTGCAGTCTCCCCACCGAAGCGCGCCTCGTGCAGTGAGGGTGTGCAGTGTGACATGGGGTCCGCTAGGAGGGCAGGGGCATTGCAGCAACAGCAACAGTTGCGGCAGGTTATGCCGAGTGATCCTGTGGATGCCGTTCGTCTCTTAGCACAGCGTGTTCGTGCGCTTGAGATGGACCGTTTCGGGCATTCAGAAGTGTTCACTTCCAAACTTCTTCAGCAGCTTTAGAGTGGGTGAGGGTGACGTGTTCAGACGTGCGCATTTGTGAATCCTAGTTGCGCATAGATAGAGCGTGGCGTATACGCATGCAGGTGTACATGTGCAGGATTTTCTTTTTGTGTGTGTCTGTGTGTTGTGTTTCTACTGCTCCCATTATTGGCCTCTCCTGTCTGATTTAAGAAGGCGACCCATGATGGTGGAAGCAGCGGTGGCTGACGGTGACGTGGTGTCGTTCCTCTGCCACGCGGGGGAGCGGTACAAGGAGCACCGGGAGCTGCTTCGCCGTAAGCAGCTGGAGGACGAGAGGAAAAAGTGTCCGTTCAAGCCAACTGTTACCGAGTACGCGGAGAATATGAATCGCCGCTCCATCAGTCGACGCAGCGGGGCGATCGAGAAGCGCCTGCACGAGCTGCACGCCAAGCGGCTGCAGGAGGCAGAGGTGCGGCGGGTGGAGAGCCGCGAGCGGCGCGAGGCGGAGTTAGTGGCGGCGGTGCGCTC